TCAGGCATATTTTTCAAGCTTGCCCGGTGTGGATATACACTCAGAGTAACATCACAAGCATCTTATTCACCTGAGTACATTGCACCAACACAGAAAATGTCAATGATGATGATGAGGAGGAGTTATTGACCGATTCATTTATTATACCAGGCAGTACGCGGTTCTTCAACAAAGCCATTGAAAACAACTCATACAAGCGAAATTATAACCCTTTGAAATGTGAAAAAATCCCACAAAAACGAGGCTATAGTCAGGTTTGTTTGCTAAATCTAGCAGAAACTTGGGTATGGAAGTGTTCCACTGTATAAGGCGGCAGTGATTACCTTGGTTGAAATTCATTTCGGAAGAAAAAAGATTGACAACCATTTTTCGAATTTGCCAACAGCACATGCAAGAAAAGAATAAAAAACAAAAAAACATAATTACCGGACATATGCCATCGAAGGTCTTTGGCTTCAACCACTAAAGAAAAGAAACAGCAAAATAAATCAAATGAGAGAAAAGCATGAAATAATCTTTCATTCCAGCTGTTGTATTTTATATCTGTCGACTGTTGTCTTGCTATCATTAGCAATACGGATATACTGTAGCTCATGAAAACAGGCATTAAAGTTAACAGAGTAAGCCTATAAAAGTTCATAAGTTCTATAAAGTTTATAATATTAGTAATAAAACGCATAGAGGAGCCAAAAATATCCCAAAAACGTGTTGTCATGAGTCTTGCCTGCGGAAATGCACCATCCAGTTTGTGCAAGGTTATGAAACGCTATCGAATTTTACTGAGTTATGTAGGACGTCAGGCACAAATAAAGTATCTTCACACACAGACCTTTGACGGTTAATTTATGGTCGCCAGTTCCAGGATGGCTTATGTAGTCCACTTGTATTGATAGCTCACCTACAGGATCGTCAACCGCTTGTTTGGCTGAAAGAAAATTGATTTATTAAACTTTGGTTAATATATACCCAGTGGCTGACACGAAATATTGGGGGGTGGGGGGGTTCAACATGTATGCCAAAGAGGTTTTGGTCTCCGTTTAAGGCTCTAAGTTATACGAATCTTTGAGAACATGGGTCACTTGATGAAATGAATAAAGTAAAGAGTACCAAGTTGTGTCATTTGAGTGACATTAGATACTTTTTCTAAGACAATCAACTAATCATGTCGATCAGCGTTGTTGTTTAATGTACAATAATTAATAAATATAACTGTCAATTCTAATTGTTTAACTAAATGTTTTATCAGTAGAGTAGTAAGGAATCCTACACAGAACAAAACAGATTGTATAAAATGAGTATGCTGTGGTATTGTTAATAACAGTGACCTCCGTACATATTGGAAGCGAGGAACTCGAGTCCAAAAATGAAGTCAAAGATAGAGCTATTGGACCATTTGGACGTAATCATCTACTGTACCTTGTTGTTGTTGCGTCTTTACAAAAGTTTTGATCAAAGTATCCGTAGTTTGAGTGTACAACGACAATGCTTTCTTTACTTTATGTAACTCTGATGATTTCTCTAGAAACGCTCGCTTCAATCCTTTGCCTTTATTATGGAAATAGTCCTTGGAATAGGAAACACAAAGATGAGCATGGGATTCATTCGACATCGTTTGAATAATAGAGAATATCTATTTGCTAGCATTTCACATGAAGGATTCTGCACACGTAAAAACGCTTGTAACTACAAACTCGCAGCAAACTTGTATCGACCAATGCTATTTCAATAACTTGTTATCAGGATGTGTTCGCACGGCTTGTTCCCAATTGTTGACAAGTTGTCAACGACTTGCATTTGTTGACAACTTGTTACAGGGTCGTTGACTTGTTACAAGTCGTTCCAACAACTTGTTGTCGTCCTGCAATCCAACAACTTGTTAACAAGTTGTGGAATACAACCTTGTGACAACCTGATAACATGAAAACCTTGTAAAACTTGTTGACAAGCTTGATCCAAGCCTGTTGCGAACAAATCCTGTTGAAAAGATGTGAGATTTTCACGTATGTACATGTATAGGCGAGATCCTGTAAATGCGCTATTTGAAATCGTCAATATTTAATTTTTTATGACATTTGAAATAAATATAGAATCAATACCTTGAGTATAACCAAAGCAGTTTCCAATACACCACATTGCTTGTGAGTTAGACGCTTCGTTTCTTCAACCTCAAGATCCTAAGCAATGCAAATATCGGAAACAAAACAACACTGTGAGCATGCATATTTACAAATTATGAACTAAGAGTGAACAATAACACAACATACTACAGACCTCACTGGCTTAATACTTATCAAAAACGCGCGACTGGAAAGTGGCCTATAAGGCTAAGCCTAAGGGAACAATTGACAACCTTCTAACGTATTATAGATATGGTAGAAATTTATTGAGTGTCAGTATGTGTTCGTCGGATAGAACACCTAAACTGGGACTTTATTTTATATATTCTCGGGCTTTCTCAAAAACTGAAATACCTTTGTCTTGAACGGAGGCAACACAATCACAGTTTCAAATGTCGTCAAAACTTTCTTCCATAATTCCTGAAATGAAGAATTGAAAACAAGTGCCGATAAATACTTGTCCGGCAACAAATAGGGTCATTCCATTTATTATCCGCACCCCCCCTATGGATGAGCGGATTCCTACCGGTCAGATATTAGGACTTAGGGGATTCCTACTGGTCAGATATTGGGAATTAACAGATTCCTTTGGCCCGATTCCTACCGGTCAGATATTGCCGTCAAGGTGTAGCATACTATATTGCCAAATATTTATTATGAGAATCATAATAATTTCATTTATTATTCTCACCCCCCACCCCCGGTCTGACATTGGGAATTAGCAGATTCCTACCGGTGAGATATTGGCAATTAGCAGATTCCTACCAGTGAGATATTGGCAATTAGCAGCATTCCTAGGGTTTAGATTGATACTGTCGATTCCAACAGGGTACTTCTCTGAAATCCGATTCCTACAGGTAACATTTTTACCAGAGCTCATCCATAGGGGGGGTGCGGATAATAAATGGAATGACCCATAATTGAAAATGATGATAGTAAACATTCCGTTTGGTTTCCCCTTATAATTTTATTAAAGGTCATTGCAACTAAAATTTTGAAAAAATGTTTAAAATTATGTATTAAATCTTGTTGCAGATTTTACATACAGTATCAAGCATAACTATTGGATAATTTTGACTGAAATAACAATAAGCTATCCGCCATCTTGAATCGATTCTTAACATCATTAACTATATGGTTTTGATGGCATCAAGTGTGAGGTTAGCCCGAGAGTTAAAATAGCAACAAAAAATGACGCGAGTTTGGGCTCATGCAGGTATAAAATTTGCGTGACCTCACTTGTGAGGTAACATATGCATATCCTGGATAATCCAAGATGGCGGACAACTCACTTAGTCAAAATAAATTTCAAGAATCAAGCAAGATATGCAGAAGCTGTTAAAAGAGTTTATTCGTTATGTAAACACGTAAACTATACTGGGAAGCCAGTAATTGGGTATCCCAAATTGGCCAAATAAGTGTCTAAGTTACCATTCTGAGAAAAATATTTTTTCTTTATTATACACGATTAAATACTTAACCATGCATGAGCACAGTCAAACCCGGGGCCCTCGTTTAACACGGCTGCATGTCCCACAGTAAACGAACTATCTAACATAAATGTAAAAAAAAACGCTACCAACCTTGGCGACTCTCTTAAGCACCGACTTTTCACATTGCTCCGCCATCAACGATAGTCTTGCTTGCAACGGCTCAAGTAAAGGACCCAGCACATGCTCTGCTTGTTTCTTTAAAACCTCCGGACCGACAGTCTGGAAATTTTCACTCCCCTTGATTCTATAGAAATGGTGGAGACGGAGAAGTTTAATTACTGCATGTATACGAGACCAGTATTCAAAAGCTGATTATGGTAATTCAGTAGAATCCCGCTAACTCCTAAACCCCGCAAAATTCTTCCAATTTTCCAACATCTGCCCAAATTTCTGTTGCCCACTTGGAAAACACATGCCATTGTCTGCAAGCTACACACGTAAAAACGCACAAGTTGTAACAAACCTGCAGCAGATTTGTAGCAATGCTGTTCCAACAACTTGTCGACAGGATGTGTTCGCACTGCTTGTTCCCAGCTTGTTGACAAGTTGTCAACGGCTTGTTGACAACTTGCAACAAGGTTGTTGAGCTCAACAGACTTGTCACAAGTTGTTCCAACAACTTGTTATCGTCCTGCAATTCAATAACTTGTCAACAAGTTGTGAGTCACAACCTTGTAGCAACTTGATAAAATGACAGCATTGTTACAACTTGTTGACAAGCTTGCTACAAGCCTGTTGCGAACACATCTTGTTGACAAGTTGTGATTTTTACGTGTGTACCAGTGTTATAAAATTTTTAGTCACTCAATTTCGATGTAAAATTGCGAGTAAAAGTTGATCAAAACTTGATGTGTTGCGCCATATTTACTCAAGGGACTTCAATTTTAATCCCAAATGAGAATAATTTCAACACTAAGACAATAGCTTTTACATGCAATACACCCTTTCGATAGTTACGCGTCATTTGGCCTGAGAGCCTCGCTCTCATGAATCGTGAGCCAATCACCTTGCGTAATTTACTGATGAGTGCGAGGCTCCAGGACCAAAAAGTATGTGTGACGTAATTATCGAAAGGGTGTATACTCTCAACGGTGGAAAAAACGATTTCGACCGGCATTTTTAAATCAAATTGTATTTGGTTATTTTTGATCGCAATGATACAAGAAAGGTATCATTCGACAGCTAAAAGCCTGATCTTTATTGGTACTGTATGAAAAAGTAAATGGATAAGCGTAATATATAATGCACGATATACATCCTATACAACAACTTATTTGTTTATACATCCTGTACAACAACTTACTTGTTTAATTCTTGATCAACTCCTTTGATAGGTCCGGTGAGATCGAGCTTGTCGACATA